GCGCTCGCTGCGGCCCGACCCCAACTTCGACGCGCTCATCTCCAAGATCTACCCGAGCCGCGACGAGTACGAGGCCCACCAGGACCGCGTGCTGGCCAAGCTCAGCCGGCTGCACAACCAGCAGGCGCTCAGCAGCAGCATCGAGGAGGGCCTCAAGATGCAGGCCATGCACAGGTGGGGCTGCTCGGGGTCCYCTCCTTGTCACCTCCCCCTGAGGACAAGGCGACGGTGTTTGTTCTAGTTGGGTTGAGAGTTGAGGGATGAGATGAGTTGAGTGAGATGAGATGAGTTGAGTGAGATGAGGTGAGTGAGGTACCTCTTGAGGTTCTTCATGAGCTTGGTCACCAGCAAAACCAACAGGCCATGCACAGGTGGAGCTGCTCGGGGTCCCCTCCTTGTCACCTCCTCCTGAGGACAAGGCGACGGTGTTTGCTAGTTGGGTTGAGAGTTGAGGGATGAGATGAGTTGAGTGAAGTACCTGAGACGAGATGAGTGAGGTACCTTTTGAGGTTCCTCATGAGGTTCGTCACCAGCACAACCAACAGGCCGTGCACAAGGTGGGGTGCTTGAGGGTGTCCCCTCCTTGTCATCATGAGGACAACACGATGGCATTTGCTTGGAGACTTCTAGTTGGGTTGAAAGTTGAGGGATGAGATGAATGAGGTTCCTCATGAGGTTCCTCGTGAGCTTGGTCACCAGCACAACCAACAGGCCATGCAAGAAGGTGTCCCCTTCTTGTCACCCRGAGGACAAGGTGATGGCGTTTGCTTGGAAGGTTCTAGTTGGGTTGAGAGTTGGGTGAGGAGGAGCCTCATGAGGTTCCATCAAGACCATTGCAGGGTCCTGCTTGTGGTGAAGAACAACCCCAGGCACCAGAGCAGATGCCTGTACAACAACAGGCAACAACAGCCACCAACAACAGGGTTGACCTACATGCTCTGGGTGCCCCTGCTGGAGCAGATTGGGTGGACTAGATGATCTAGAGGTCCCTTCCAACCTCAACCATTCTGTGACCYGCTGGAAAGCAGCTCTGTGCGGCGGGATTTGGGAGTTCTGAGTGCCAAGAAGTTGACCATGAGCCAACAAGGTGCCCTGGTGACCAAGAAGGCCAATGGGATGACAAAGGGTGACAGGACAAGGTGTAATGGGTATAAACTGATCCTTTCCTCATAATCCGTTCCTCATGAAATAGATGTTTGAGTCTCTTCATCGTCTTTGTTGCTCTATGCTGGACTCTTTCTAGAAGGTCCACAGAATCGTCCRACTAGATGATAGGTCATCTCTAGATGATCCGGAGGTCCCTTCCACTCAGTGGCTCATCCCTAGATGATCTAGAGGTCTCATCCACTCAGGGTCTCATCTCTAGATGATCTAGAGGTCCCCTCCGTTTCATCTCTAGATGATCTCGAGGTCCCTTCCACTCAGTGTCTCATGCCTAGATGATGTCGAGGTCCCTCCCGCTCCGCGTCCCCTCCCTCAGCCGTGCTCCGCCGCGGTGCCGCTGCAGCGTGTGCTGTCGCGCAGGGCGCAGCGGGTGCGCAAGCTGCACGCCGAGTCGGACAACGCGACGTTCAGCGGCGCCGAGGACAACTGCGACAGCCGCTCGCACCTGAG